AAAGCCACTCCCCCTCCAGGCACCCCCACTGCAGCCAAAGGACCCTCAAAAAGCCCTGCTGAGGCCAAGGCACCTCCAAAGAGCCCTGTCAAGGCCACTGCAGCTCCTGCAGCTCCAGCCACAGCTTCTGCTCCAGCCACGGTTGTTTCTGGTGTCCCTCCAAAGCCCCCAACCCCAGCAAAAGCAGACACCGGCCATCCCGGCTCTGCCCCTGCCAAGAAGCAGCAGCCCCCCACCAGTAACAAGGTGGCCAAGCCGGCCGCTTGCCCACCCCAGCCCAAAGCTCCCTCGAAGGCCCCGCTCAGCGCTGACGATGAGGACCTGCCGCCTCTGCTCCCCCCCGAGCCGCCCGTGCTGCTGGAGCTCTCTCCACCCGCGGGGGTCCCGGCCCCCCTGGCGCCGCAGCCCATCCTCAAGAATGACAAGGGTATTTGCGGCCGCGGTTTGCCGTGTGCATGGAGTGTCACTGGCTGCCCACGGGATACTAACCCCGCCCGGGGCCCCAGCGTGTGGGGATAGACCGAGCCGAGCAGCCGGTGAGCCGGGGCGCAGGGAGGGACGGGGCTCGGCACGGTCCCGGCGGTCACTAACGCGTGTCCTCGGGCACGGAGCACGGTGTGGTTTGTTTGTGGCATGGGCACTGCGAGCTGAGCTGGCTTCACACGGAGGAGCTGCCACGTGCCTGTCCCTGCTGTGTGTGGTGTCCACGTGGTGTCCCCGTGTCGCAAGGGGGGACGTGGGCAGTGCTGGTGACAAACTGGGCTGTCCCCACGCTCTGCCTGAAGTGTTGGGAACCCCAGGAACACCCTGACACCTGCAGAGAGCTTTGTCAGGGCTCCTGTGTGCTGTGGGCATGGAGGCCCTTCCCAGAGCAGGAAGAGGGACTGAATCCAGGTAATGGCTGCACGGGAGCATCACGGTCACCTCCAGGTGACCTCCAGCCTCCAAGGTTGGGGACACCTGGCTCTCCTTCAGTAACTGGTGTGGTCGGTGCTGTGGGTCACGAGTGGTGGTGACGCTACAGCTGGTGGCCCTCTGGGCACCCAGAGGTGCTGTTCCCTGAGGGGGGTTCAGGGTTATCCCAGATCATCCCTGTAGTGAAGCCATGGTTGTGCAGCGGCCCTGGGGGCTTGGTGAGTGGGGTCTCCATGCCGTGTGTTTGAGGGGAGTCAAGATGGGCCCTGACACACTGGGCTTCTGCCACCTCAGCACCCTGGGAGTGACACCCACCTCCTCCTCGAGCTGGTGCCACAGGCTGGAGCTGGCTCGGGATTCATTCCAGAGCCTCTGGGCACTTGCGGGGCTCTGGCACCTGGCTCCCAACACAGTGAGAGGCTGAGGACCCACTCCTGCCACCCTGCTGATGTCACTTGGGGTGCAGTGAGAGCTCCTGATGGCATTCAGAGTGCAGGGAATGCTCCATCCACCACCTAACTGGGTTGACTGGTGGCTGCACTGGGAGCCAGCAACAAAGGCTGTGTCCCCTTGATCTACCGGAGGTGGGAAGAGTGAGGGGTGTGTGTCTCTGCAGGGTCTGGCACAGAGTCCGACAGCGATGAATCCGTACCAGAGCTCGAAGAGCAGGACTCCACACAGGCCACGACACAGCAGGCACAGGTAGGGCAGGTGGCACACGCCATCCGTGGTGGATCAGAGTCCCTGAGCTGTCGCTCCAGGATTGTCACGGATCCCTCTGGTTTTCCTTCCCTGCAGCTCGCGGCAGCAGCCGAAATAGATGAAGAACCCGTCAGCAAAGCAAAACAGAGCCGGAGCGAGAAGAAAGCTCGGAAGGTGAGGCTTCTCCTGTCCCTGGTGAACAGCCCCAGGGTTCAGAGTGACACTGGGGATCTCACCAGTCCTGGGATTGGAGTGTTCCCTCCAGCTGACAGCCCGGGAGTGCTGCTCCGTGGCAGTAGATGCACATTTCCATTTGTATCCATGCAGCAAATGTTGGATCTGGGACTCTGGAGAGAGGAGTGGGCACGTCTGGGCTGGTTCCAGAGCTGCTCTTCCCTCGCTGACCTTTCCCTCATGTTTTTCAGGCAATGTCCAAGCTGGGCCTTCGCCAGGTGACGGGAGTCACCAGAGTCACCATCCGGAAATCCAAGAACATCCTCTTTGTCATCACAAAGCCAGACGTATACAAGAGCCCGGCGTCAGACACCTACATCGTCTTCGGCGAGGCCAAGGTGAGCCCACCCTGGAGCCAGCAGGACGCCGTGCCAGGGCTCCTTCCTGTCACCTGTGCGCTGTGTGGCTCCTGCCAGGGAATGTGCTGGCACTGCCCAGGACAGGCCTCATTGCTCCTTTCCTTCCCTCCTGCAGATCGAAGACCTGTCCCAGCAGGCTCAGCTGGCGGCCGCCGAAAAGTTCAAAGTGCAAGGAGAACCTGTTTCCAACATCCAGGAAAACACACAGACCCCCACCGTGCAGGAGGAGAGCGAGGAAGAGGAGGTAACGCCTTCCCCGGCCTGTCTGTGGGGTTTGGGTTAATCCATGGATTCCTCTCCTTCATCCGTGTTTCTGCTGTGGTGGTAAAGGGAGAGCACAGGGTTCTGCCCTGGGGGTGTTTACAGTGCATGCTGCCCTCCTGGCTCCCAATCCAGACAACCCCAGCCCGTGCCAGGCCTGGAACTGGCACCAATCCTGGGCTGTTTTTCCTTCAGGTTGACGAAACCGGCGTGGAGGTGAAAGACATCGAGCTGGTGATGTCCCAGGCAAACGTGTCGCGAGCAAAGGCCGTGCGAGCCCTCAAGAACAACAGTAACGACATTGTAAACGCGATAATGGTGAGTGTTGGGGGGCAGCAGCTTTGGGGGGTCCCTGGGGGAAGCTGCCGGCTCCGGGCTGGCTCCTGACTCCCGTTCTCCCCACAGGAGCTGACGATGTAGCCGCCGGAGGGAGGAGCCTTTTTTGGTGTTTCAGAGAAGAGTAAAATACAACTAAATTTAAAATTTGTACTATTTCTATCGGTTAATAAAAGTTGTGGCTTATTGTTGGTGAAACCGCTGCTCTGTGGTGCTTTGCTGCCTGCCCTTCCCTGGGAGTTGTGGCCCCAGGGTGGAGCCTTCCTCCCGGGAAGATCCTGGCGCCGATATCCCGTCCTGAAACATCACCTGCCCGTTCCCTCCTTTCCTTCCTGTCCCAGAGCCTGGCTGGACACGAGCCCGGGTCAGCTCAGTCAGCTGCAGGGTCACCCCTTCATCCCCTCAGGGCTCCCTTCAGGGAGGGCTCCTCACTTCCCTGCAGCAGGCAGGAATGGGGAATCATGGATGAGGGAAAAGCTGTGGACTCCAGTAAAGTCTTTGGGACAGGTGAAGTCCTCAGGTTCAACCCTGGCTGGTGGCCGGGCCCACAGGGTGGTGGGGAGATGGGCTGTATCCAGGTGGTGACCGTGTGAGGGACAGCCCTTTATCCATGATCTGGGTGGGGGGATCGAGGGTGCCCTGGTTTGTGGATAACACCAGCTTGGGTGGGATATTGATCTGCTGGAAGGCAGGAAGCTCCACAGAGCCATCTGGACAGGACAGATCCCATGGAACACTCCAGGTTGGGGGAAGAGGGGCTGGAAAGCTGAAAAAGGCCCTGGGGGTGCTGGTGCCAGCGGCTGGACACGAGCCCAGGTGTGCCCAGGATGGCACCTGGGCTGTCCCAGCCATGGGGACAGGGATTGTCCCCCCTGTGCTGGCACTGCTGGGGCTCCTCCAGCGCTGGGTGCAGCTCTGGGCTCTCACGGCCACAGAGACATTGAGGGGCTGGAGATGGGAATGGAGCTGGGGAAGGGCTGGAGCAGCAGGAGAAGGCTCTGGAGAAGTCCTGAGGGGGCTGGGCAAGGGCTGGGCCTGGAGAAAAGGAGGCTCAGGAGGGATCTTTTCACCCCACACCTCCCTGACGGGAGAGTGGGGCCGGGCGCTGCTCCCCGGGAACACCGGGACAAGGACAGTGGGGGGGTCCCGGGGGTCTCCTCCCCGCTCCGCACTCCCCCGGTCACCGGCCCGCACTGCGCATGCGCGCCCAGAAGCTGCTGGAAGGGCAGCGGGCGGGGGCGCGCGCGGGGCGGGGGCGCGCGCCGGGGGGGGCCGCGCACGCGCGGTGGTGGCGGCGGGAGGAGGCGGCGCGCGCGGGGCGCGGGGATTTTGCTGCGTCACCACGGGCCGAGCGCGCGCGGGGCATTGTGGGAGCGAGGCCGCGCCGAGCCCCGAGCCCGCCCGGAGCCACCGGAGCCGCCGCCGGAGCCCCCGGAGCCCTCCCGGCACCGCCCGACCGCCGCCGCGCCGCCCGCAGAGCCCGCGACACCGCCCGGAGCCCGACCCGCACCGCGCAGGAGCGCCCGCCACAGCCGTCGCAATCCGCCATGTGAGGCCCGGGGGTGGGAGCGGCGCGGGAAGGCCCCGCCAGGCCCCGCCGGGCCGCGGGCGCTACCGCGGGAGCCGCCCCGGCGCCGCCGAGCGCGGGCTCCCGCCGCGTGCTGACCTTGGGCGGCCCCGCCACCGCGCCGGTGGGTCTTGTCCCGGTTATCGGTTGGGCCCGGCCCCGGTTACCGGGTGAGGGCGGAGCGCCCCGGCTCGGCCGCCGGCCCCGGTTCCCGGCTCGGCCCCGGCGTTCCGCGGTGCGGGCGGGATCTCCCATCCCCGCTCTGGGCTGTGTGGAATGAATGGGGCCGCGCGGGTGGCGGGGGGTGTTCGGGGGGTGTTGCGCGTTTCCCGGTGGCTCGGTGGCCACCGGCACTCGCCGAACGGTGGCGGCCGAAACCGCGGAAAACTCCCGGTAAGTAACGCGTGGAACCATCCAGAGCGTGCAGGCGAGCGAATCTGTTTGTAAACTTCCAATTTTCCACGTAAAATCCATCCCTGGGTTTTGCGCTGTCCCTAAGCGTGTCCAAGGCCAGGCTGGACAGGGCTTGGAACAGCCCGGTGTGGGACGGGATGGGCTTTCAGGTCCTTCCCAAGCCGAACCGTTCCAGAATTCCCTGAAATTCGAGGAGCGAAAAGGTCCCTCAGGAGGAGGCGGAATCGCATGGAAACCCCCGGGGCAGCCGTGGTGCTGCTCTGCCCGGTGTGGGTGAGCTGCTGGATCTCCCAGTGTGTCCACGTGCATCCCGAGCGGAATCCCGTGCTCCCGGCTGCTGCACTGCCAGGGAGCCCTAGTTATCCTCCTTCCTCGGAATTCTCCCGGGGCCGCTTCAGCGACCCAAAACCAGCTCATGGCAGAGCTCCGGTCGACGTGAGTGTTCCCTGGCAGAGCTCAGGAAAGAAGAGCCGGAGTTTTCCGTGTGCAGGGTGACACTCAAGAGGGAAAAGTGGCTGGGAAAGAAGAGCTGCAGTGCCCTGGGAGCTGCAGGCAGCATTCCCACATCTCTGGTGGCAGGACAAGGGGAAAGGGCTTCCAACTGCTAGAGAGCAGGGTTAAGTGGGATTTTGGGGGGAAAAATTCCTCCTCAGAGGGTGGTGAGGCACTGGGATGGATTTTCCAGAGGATGCCCCATCCCTGGAGGTGTCCAAGGCCGGGTTGGACAGGGTTTGGAGCAGCCTGGGGTAGTTGGAGGTTGCACATGGCGGGGGGGGGGGAGGCTGAATGAGCCTCAAGGTCCCTTTCAACCCAAACTATTCCATGATTCTGTGACCTCCACGTGTCTGGCTGGAGGGACTGGAGGCAGTAGCACTTCCTGAGGTTTTGTTTTGTCAGGAATTTGGTCTGAGGACAGTGTTATGGGGACCGGTGGTTTTCGGTCCCTTGTCCCCAGCCAGGCTTTTACTTTTGTTCTCAAACCGTAAGCAGTGGAGGTGCTTCATCTTAACATGAGTGAAAGAGAGAGAGTGATCAAGCTGGAGCTTTTTGGTGTAATTTCTGTAGATTTCATCATCCTGAAACTGCAGCGCTGCTGCATCTGTGTAGAATCGTCTAAAATCTAAAATGAGGCTTTTTTTTAATGAAAAAAACACCTTGCCAGGGTTTCTAAATGAAAGGAAAAGTCACTTTGTAAAACAGGTTTTATTGCTGTCTGGGAGGGGAAAATCTGGTTGAGGATCTGACTCCTACAGCGTCCTCGAGCTGGGGGAGCTGTCAGGATCCTTCCAGGAGACAAAGATGGGATTCCATAGGCACAGGATACAGACAGAGAACACGAGAACAGGTCTGGAAACTTCCTCAGAGCCACAGATGGGGAGATTTGAGATTCCACGGGCGAGTTCAGCGTGTCAGAAGCTGCTGCTGCTGTGCCAGAGACCAGGATATATCCAGGGATATCCAGTAGAGCCCCCGTGGATCAGGCAGAGCCTTGAGGGCTCTGCAGTGAAACTGAGCCTCCACATTGCCCATCAGTGCTGCTGGGAAACTTCTAGAACCTGTTCCACAGTGCTGGAATAACGATTGCCATCGGAATGTGGGGACTGGAAGAGCCAGAGGAGCTGTGGGGGTGGCCGTGGCTGCTCAGGAAGTCCCCAAAACACAGGTGGATGGGACAGAGGAAATCCTCACTGGAATGGAGCGCTGGGAACCACCCAGGATGGAGCACGTTTAAATTCCCTTTTTCCAAATCCCATGGGGGTGCTGGATAACCAAAACACCCTTGGCATGAGGCTGAGCTCCCTTGGGATTTGGGTAACAGGTGGTGGGTCAGTGCCTGTGAGAGGAGATTTTCCGTGGGTGTGTGGGAGCACGTGCAAGGCTCCCCATGGGCTGCTGCTGTGTGTGGTTGTCTCCTGGGAATCTCCGTGTGGGCAGGAGACAAAAAGCAGCTGCGGCTTCCGCCTCATCCCAACTCTCCGGTGGGTCCTGCGTTACTGGTCGGAACGGGTGAGTCCTGACTGAAGCTCACAGGGAGGTTTCCCTCCTCCCTTTGGGAGGTTGAGATTGGAAAAGCAGATAAAAGGAGGAGAGGCAGCTCCAGCGCATTCCAAGCGCACTTGGGGTGGATTCCCAGGAAAGCAGCACAGGTTTAGGTTCAGAAACGCGAATTATGGCCGAGTAAAACTTAGCTGGGATCTCGCTGCTCTGCAGCTTGGACGTGTGTGTGTGTTGCCTTGAGCTGAGTGGGATTTCTGGAAGCGCTGGGAGTTTTGTTGGTGCCTCAAATCCCCAATCCTGGCGGAGATGCCGAGGTCAGGGCCGGCAGCCGGGACGCGTGCGGCTCCCTGGGAAGGCTGGAGATGTCTCCATTGACATTGAGAACTGGGAAGTGTTAACACCATTCAGCCCCTGCGTCATCCAGGCAGGGACACTGAGATTTCTGTTGGATAATGGGGCTGGAGCGACGTTCCAAGTGCCCCACGCTGGGGGGTTTTGTCTCCCAGCACAGAGGGAACAGAGCAGGGCATTTCTCATCTTCCTTTCCTCTTGAGAGTCTTTCATTCCCCGTTATAAGAGAAAATCTGTGTCCAAGAAGGGTTTAAAAATACCACAGTAAGAAAATTGCTGCTCTGCTGCTGCACTTCACCTGAATAAGGTGATAATTAATATTCCCTGAAATGCTGCTATGGGGAATGAGGGGAAGCATCAGGTTTTCACCCCTGGAAACTGAAGGCTGAATTCAGAATCCACTTGTTTTTATGCTCTTGGAAATTAAATCCTTGGACATTGGTCTCTGCTCAGGTGTTGTGGCACCTACAGGAGGCTGTCCAAGGCATCGTGGCCATTCTGCTGCCTTTCCCTGAGCTGGCACCAGTTTGTCCAGGACTGTGGCACTGGGGGAGCTCAGAGGTGACTGGTTTGGGGTTCAGCTGGAGCTGGGCTGTGCCATGGTTGGGTTCATCCCTACGAAATGTGGATGGGAGCAGTAGGAGCTTTTGGGTGAGTCCCTTTGCTAAATGTGCCGCAGCTCAATGCCAACAATTGATGGTCAGGTGAGTCAAAATCTTGATGTGGAAGTTTAGCAAAAGATTCCTTAATAAAAGACACCAACAATTGATGATCAGGTGAGTCAAGATCCTGATGTGGAAGTTTAGTGAAGGGCACCTTAATAAATGGTCTGAAAGGTTATTTTTTGGTCAGATACTGGCTGAGAGAGCAGCACCAAGGGCCTCACCTTGGTGAGCTGGCAGCTGCTGTCACAGGCTGTGTCATATCAGCTTCCCTGGTTTAGATCCTTGTCCAGCTCAGAGCCTTCCACCTCATCCCACTGCACATCTCTGCAGGGGCATCAGCTGGGAAAAATTGCTCCCTGTGAGGCTGGGGAGGCACAGGAATGGCAGATAAAGGGGGTTAAAGAGGAGATTAAGATGGGCTGTTGGGATGAAATACCTCCCTGCGAGGCTGGTGAAGCCCTGGAATGGATTTCCCAGAGGATTCCCCATCCCTGGACGTGTCCAAGGCCAGATTGGAACAACCTGGGCTAGTGAAAGGTGTCCCTGCCGCGGCAGGGGGTGGCACTGGCTAAACTTTAAGGTGCCTCCCGACCATTCCACGATTCCCTGAGCTCGGGAAGACAAACGAGCGTGAGGAGCAGCCATGGCCTCTGTGCCTTAGCAACAGCCCTGCCGGGAGACTGTTTGGTTCTCCTGGAATGCAGGCCCTGGGCTCGGCCTCAGTTGCCAGGGGAGGACTGGAAGGGGGGAGGAGGTGTCCGAGCCCAGCCAGGTCGTTTTCCCCGCTCCACAGAGCACAGAGAGTTGCAGGTGAGTTCTCAGGGTGGAACTGCAAACACAGGAGTTGGTCCAGAGCTCTGTGGCTTTCCCAGCTCCCCTGGACACGCTGTTGCTTTTTGGGATGGTTGTGCAGAGGCAGAATTCCATGGGAGTCCCAGTGTGAGTGTTTGGGAGCTTGTAAAGAGGCTGGAGCAGAGATTCTCCAACCTGTGCTGGCTTAATTGGGTTACTTTGGGTTTTAACTCTTTGCATGACAAAAGCCACTCTGAAGTCTGCCCATGCAGCTGTTGGAGGTGGTGGAGCTGCTGCCACAGTCTGTAGTAGCTCATCTTGAAGTTTATCAGAATTTTGATCGGCTGAAACGTTTATTTCAGTCTCAGATTTCAGTGGCTCCTCCCAGGAACTTTCTGGGGGCGTCACACACCAAATGCATCATTTCTTTTTATTCCTGCTCTCTCCTTTCATCTTAAATCACCTTTCAAGAACGACAGGAAGCTCAAAATGCAGGTTTTAAGCGCAGAAAGAAGTGTTTTTTGGTTGGATTTCTTGATGCAAATCAATGCCCTTGTGTCCCTGCTGTGCCCACAGGCAGCCTGCCTCTGCAAAGTGGTACGACCGGAGGGACTACGTCTTCATCGAGTTCTGTGTTGAAGACAGCAAAGACGTAAATGTAAATTTTGAAAAGTCCAAACTCACGTTCAGGTGAGTAATTCAGGCCTAAGGAGGGCTGAGGAGAAGCAGATTTTTTTCTACAAGATGTTTGCAGGTTAAATACGGATTTCTTTTTCTCTTGCAGCTGTCTTGGAGGAGGCGATAATTTTAAACATTTAAATGAAATCGATCTTTTTAATAATATCGATCCAAATGTGAGTATCCTGACTCTTCTGAGTTCTTGATGCTGGGGAAGGGCTGGCACAGGTTGTCCAGAGAAATTGCAGATATTCCATCCCTGGAAGTGTTCAAGGCCGTGTTGGAGCAACCTGGGCTAGTGGAAGGTGTCCCTGCCCGTGGCAGGGGTTTGGAACTTGGGTTTTAATGTCCTTTCCAACCCAAACCATGGCTCTGTGATCCTAAAAGATACCGTCTGTTCTTTAGGCTGCTCCCTGGGTTTTGGGAAAAATTGTTCCTTAGAACGTAAAAGCTCCAAGTCAGATCCAGGAAAGCTTCTCTGGGTGGTATTTTCCAGAACAAGGAATAAGGGAAGAGGTGAAGATAAAGGAGGGATGTCAGCAGTTCGTGGTGAAGGTCATCCTGATGGTACTAATGGATATTTGGTCTTTTTCAGGAATCAAAGCATAAAAGAACAGACAGATCCATCTTGTGTTGTTTACGAAAAGGAGAGTCTGGTCAGGCATGGCCAAGGTTAACAAAAGAGAGGGCAAAGGTGGGTCTGGACATCTGCTGCCTCCCTGGCTTTTAATTCTGTGAATATTTGGGTCATGTTCAAATTCTGGAGCAGTTTTGGGTCACTTTGCTGCTCTTTATGCCACGGCAGCTCTCGTTAACCTGCCTGTTCTAACTGACAGACAGTTACTTCCTTGTCCTTAAATAATTCCTTGTCCTTAAGTAACTCCTGGTTTTGGTGCAGCTCAACTGGCTCAGCGTGGACTTCAACAACTGGAAAGATTGGGAAGATGATTCAGATGAAGACATGTCCAATTTCGATCGCTTTTCTGAGGTAGGGAACGACAAATTCCTCAAGTTTTGGGAGTTGCCAGGCGATGAATCTGCGGCTTTTTTGCACCATCACTTTGTAATTCCTTCTTTGGGACAACTGATGTGTTAAAGCAAGGGGGGCCTGTTGGTTTAGGACAGTTTTGGGTGGAGAGTGGGGTTGGATTCACCCCAAAGTGTGACTGTTCTGTCTCTGAGCAGATGATGAACAACATGGGAGGAGACGACGACGTAGACTTGCCAGAAGTAGATGGGGCAGATGATGTGAGTATGTGGGTGTAGTAAACACCTGCAGGGCTGGCTCAGAAGTCCTGCACTCACCCCTCAGCGCTGAAAAAGGTTTAAATAGCCCCAAACCTTGTTTGCACAGGTGATGTCACCTGGGGAGGCTCCTTCCCTCCCCTCTCAGTGGTGCTGAGGGTGCTGGGGACACCAGTTTGGTGTCCGTGTCTCTCTGCAGTGACTGGGGGGTCACTGTGGGTCTGCAGTGAGACCAAACTGAGCTCACTGAGACTTCTGGAACCTCAAAATCCAGATTTGGGAGCAGCAGCTCTTTGCTGATGGGTGGGGTGGCAGAGGAGCTGTCTGCTCCACTTAAAGGTTGTTTGTTCTCCTTTCCAGGACTCACCAGACAGTGATGATGAAAGTAAGTTGTTGTTGTTGTTTTCCCCTCACACACCTGCTGAAGGCTCTGATGCAGCCTCGGGCAGGGCCAGCAGATGTTCATCCTGGCTACCAGCTAAAGCCAGCCCTGGGAGACAAATCTAATCTGGGAAAGCCTCTCCATGCAAGCCCCAAATACCAGTTTGACCTTCCCAGGCAGCTGCAGTCCAGGGAGGCTTTGGCTTTAGGAGCAGCACGTGCTCAGGGTGGCTCTGGCACGGCTTTCCCTTGGGAAGAGCCAGGGGGGAGGGCAGAGGCCCCAAACTGCCCCGTGACCTCCTTGGTTGGAGGCCAGGTCCTCTTGCTCGTGTCCCTTGTGACATAACAGTGCCCTGGGAGCTTTTAAAAACCAACCAAGCAAAAAATAAAACCCACAGACCAAGCCTAAAACCACTAATTCTCTCTTTTCCCTCTAGAAATGCCGGATCTGGAGTAAGGCAAACTGTCGTCTTCAGGGTTTTGGGGAAAGAAGTTCATCACAACATTTCATAATTGAGATAAGAATTCCTGAGTTGATAGCCCTAAAGGGAGATCCTGCATCCTTTAACCCATTTTCAGTCCATTTTAAATGGCTTCACTGATGGTAGGTGTGTCCCATGGCACGGGGCGGTCTTAAAAGCCACGAGAGGCAATAACGTTATGCATGAACCGTTTTCCAGACTTCCAAAAAAACAAAAAAAAAACCAAACCAACCCAATTGAGGTGTAGGCAATCCGTTCAGAGCAGTTGCAATAAAGTTTACAGAGCCTCCTTGCCTCGTAGCAGATGTAATTATAATGGGAGAACCCTGAATTAACACTGAGTGGTAAAAGAGCATTTTTTTTTCCCCCCTCTCTCCACGGCCTGAAATTGTCCGTTTTTACCGGGAACAAAAACTGTTGTCATTGGCTCCCCAAATTCAGCAGGCGAGGCGCATCCCTCTGTGGTGTCTTCAGGTCTGTTCCACTAAAAGTTTGTATTGAAAAGGAAACTTCAAAAAATTCTCCTCGTTTTGGTGTTCGCCCCCGAGCCCCGAGCGGTGCCGGTGGCCGGAGCCTGCCCCTGGTCCCGTGTGACCCCAGACCTTTCCACCTCCTCGCCCGGGGTGCGAGTGGCTGTACATTGTTGCTTGTCAATCTGTACATTTAGACCAAATCGTATTTGCACTGTGGGTTTGGCAGCAAGTGACAGACCGTGGGGCGCGCGGGCGCCTGCGAACCGGGCTGAAAAACCTCAATTTATGTTCAGAGCAGCTGGGATTTTTTTAATGTCTGCATTCTTTCTAATAAACTGTTGAAGACTCCCTGGCTCTCCTTCGGCCTGGGCCCTGTGCGTTCCTCAGCGCCGTGGGGGCAAAGGGGGGTCACTGGGGTGGGATCCCCTCCCGGGAGGGGTCAGTGGGGTGGGATCCTCTCCTGGGAGGGGTCACCGGGGTGGGATCCTCTCCCTGGAAGGGTCACCGGGGTGGGATTCCCTCCCGGGAGGGGTCAGTGGGGTGGGATCCTCTCCCGGGAGGGCTCACGGGTGGGATTCCTTCCCCTTGGGGACAAGAGTGGTTAGTGGGGCAGGTTCCCCTCCCTTGGGGGGCAGGAGAGAAATGGTGCGGTGGTCCCCAGTGCCCAGGTGGAGTGGTGGGGTGGGGTTTTGGCCTCCGAGAAACAGCAGGGGCCGGTGCCGCGGGGCCAGCCCGGTACGGGGCGGCCCCCGGGGGCGCTACAGTGACACGGTGTCCGGGCGGAGCGGTGCGGGACAGACAGGGGCCCGGTGAGGGGCGGCGCGGCGGGGTGGTGCTGCGGCGCGGGGTGGAGCAGAAACGCAAACGGAGCAGAGGCGGGCCCGGCCCGGGCCCGGTGCGGCCTCGGCCGCGGTCACAGCGCCCGCCCAAGGACAAGCGCGGGACACGTGCGCCGCCACTTCCGCTGACCTTCGCCCGGGACACGCCCCCTCCCACACCCCGCCCTATCAGACCGCAGCTCGTTTTGATGGATGGCTCCAAAACCCAATCGTGAGGAGACTCAGAGCGGGCGCCGCATCGATGTGACCAATGGGAGCGCGACTTCGCCCGGCGCCTCTCGGCGGTGCAGCCAATGGGTGCGCGGTGCGGCGATGACGCCCGGCTCCGTGGCCCCGCCCCGCGGGGGCCGTGAGGGGCGGGCGGGACGCGGGGCTCAGTCGGCGCCGCCATGTTGGGGCTCGCGGGTCGTTCCGCCGCCGCCGCCGCCGCCGCGGCCCGGCCGCTGCTGCCCCGCGGGGCCGCCCCGGGCCGGGATCTCCTCCCGCTGCTCCTCGGCCGCGGGGCCGCCCCGGCCGTCGCCGTCGGGGCGCGTGAGTGCGGGGCGAGCCGGGGTCACCTTGGGGCCTGCGCGGGCGGTGGACGCGGCTTGCCGGTGGCCAGGCCCCGGTTACCGGGATGGGGTGTGATGTGCCAGGCGGGCAGGGCGAGGGGATGGGCTGCGGCAGAGGAGTAGCGGCCCTGGGGGGTGGGCGTGGGGGCACTCATGGGCTGCAGGGACTGCGCTTGTACCGGGGGACGGGGTTCAGGGGGTCCCGGGTGCGCTGAGGGAAGGGGGTTCAGGGGGTCTGCGTGCACCGAGGGGTGCGGGTGTACCCACAGTGGGGTGCAGAGCTCCTGGCTGCACTGAGGAGGGGCCAGGGGGTCCTGAGTGCATCGAGAGAGGGGGTGAGGGGTGCACCGAGCGGGGTGTGGGGATCCAGGGTGCGCTGAGGAAGGGAGTTCAGGGCGTCCTGGGCGCACCGAAGGAGGTTCAGGGGTCTCGGGCACACCCCAAGGCCTGCAGGGGACCCCCTCTCCGCACCCCCAGGGCCCACGGAGCCCGGAGCTGCCCTTCCCCGGCCGACCTTGACTCGTCCCTCTCCCCCCAGGACGGGACTATGCCGCCCATGCAGCCCCTGCCGCCAAGGCCGGCTCCACCACCGGCCGCATCGTGGCCGTCATCGGGGCCGTGGTGGATGTGCAGTTCGACGAGGGGCTGCCCCCCATCCTGAACGCCCTTGAGGTGCAGGGCAGGGAGACGCGGCTGGTGTTGGAGGTGGCTCAGCACCTGGGTGAGCAGCTGGCACGGGGAAGGAGGGGACGGGGAGGGGTCCTCCTGTGATGATGTTTCCAATGACTTTCGTTCTCCTGAGCTTGCTGAAGCCACGGATTTCGATCTGAGGAGGAGGAAAATGGCTGCCCGAGGGCTGTGGCTGCAGGGCTCGATTTTCCTCAGGGCTATTTTATTCCTGCTGCTCCTCTTAGTCCTTCTGCCAGCAGAATGTCCCCTTGGCAAGCGCTGGGGAGGCCACCAGCAGCTGTCCCCAGAGTCAGCCTGAGGACACTGTGGTGACTGCTGTCCTTGGGCCTCGGCAGGAGAGAACACTGTGCGCACCATTGCCATGGATGGTACAGAAGGGCTGGTGAGGGGACAGAAGGTGCTGGACTCCGGTGCTCCCATCCGCATCCCCGTGGGCCCCGAGACCCTGGGCAGGATCATGAATGTCATCGGGGAACCCATCGACGAGAGGGGCCCCATCACGACCAAACAGTGAGTGATGAGGGGCTGGAGGACGCACCAGGTGTGAGCAGGGAGGTGGCTCTGGCTCTCCTGGGTCACAGTGGGGACTGTCCCCTGCCACCCTCAGCCTGGGGGGCTCAGAGCAGCTGCCCACCCCCTTCCTCTCCTCTTCCTGCTCCAGGTTTGCTGCTATCCACGCCGAGGCTCCTGAGTTTGTGGAGATGAGTGTCGAGCAGGAGATCCTGGTGACAGGGATCAAGGTCGTGGATCTGCTGGCTCCCTATGCCAAGGGTGGCAAGATCGGTACGTGACCCCCAGAGCAAGGGTGGCTCTGGGAGGTGGGCACCTGATGGTTCCTCTGGGGAACTTTTCCTTCACTGATGATTCACTCCATGACTTTCGTTCTCCTGAGCTTGCTGAAGCAACGCTTTTTCTGTCTGAGGAGGAAAGAGCTGAAGGGAGACCCTGAGGGCAGCCAGGCTGGCTTGGGGCTGAGCAGGACCCTTATTTCCCCCCCTCCCAGGTTTGTTTGGAGGTGCTGGCGTTGGCAAGACTGTGCTGATCATGGAGCTCATCAACAACGTGGCCAAGGCTCACGGTGGTTACTCAGTGTTCGCCGGCGTGGGCGAAAGGACCCGTGAGGGCAACGACTTGTACCACGAGATGATTGAGTCTGGGGTCATCAACCTGAAAGATGCCACTTCTAAGGTGTGCAGAGACCCTGAGGGGGTTCTGGGTCCCCTGGGAAGGTTCTGGGTCCCTTGATGTAGTGCCAGGCGTGGCAGTGACGCCGTGCTGACCTCAGGGTCCCACCCGCAGGTCGCCCTGGTCTACGGGCAGATGAACGAGCCCCCGGGCGCTCGCGCCAGGGTGGCCCTGACGGGGCTGACGGTGGCCGAGTACTTCAGGGACCAGGAGGGTCAGGACGTGCTGCTCTTCATCGACAACATCTTCCGCTTCACCCAGGCTGGCTCCGAGGTCTGTGCTGGGCACAGGGGTTGCACCTTCCCCCTTGCTGCACAGCCCCTCGTGCTGTGCCCCTCACGCTCTGCCCCTCACAGGTGTCAGCCCTGCTGGGCAGAATCCCCTCGGCCGTGGGCTACCAGCCCACGCTGGCCACTGACATGGGCACCATGCAGGAACGCATCACCACCACACGCAAGGGCTCCATTACCTCGGTGCAGGTGAGGGCAGGACCAACCCTAAGGTCCAGGGGGGCTGTGTCACCTGCCTGGGACCGACTGTCCCCACTCCTGTGTGTCCCCAGGCTATTTATGTGCCGGCCGATGACTTGACTGACCCTGCCCCCGCCACCACCTTTGCCCACTTGGACGCCACCACGGTGTTGTCCCGCGCCATCGCTGAGCTGGGCATCTACCCGGCCGTGGACCCCCTGGACTCCACCTCCCGCATCATGGACCCCAACATCGTGGGGCCCGAGCACTACGACGTGGCTCGGGGTGTGCAGAAGATCCTGCAGGTGAGGGGGCTGGGGCAGCCCCTCCCCGTGGGGTGCTGGGCTGGGGGATCAGCACTGACCACTCAGCCACCCCCTGTGTCCCCCTCCCCAGGACTACAAGTCACTGCAGGACATCATCGCCATCCTGGGCATGGATGAGTTGTCCGAGGAGGACAAACTGACCGTGGCCCGTGCCCGCAAGATCCAGCGGTTCCTGTCCCAGCCCTTCCAGGTGGCCGAGGTCTTCACGGGCCACATGGGCAAGTTGGTGCCACTCAAAGAGACCATCAAGGGCTTCAAGCAGATCCTGGCAGGTGAGGTGGCCCCTGGGGGGCCTGGGGAAGCCCTCTGTGCCTCCCACTCCCCCTGTGACACATTGTGTCCTCCCAGGTGAATACGACCACCTGCCTGAGCAGGCTTTCTACATGGTGGGGCCCATCGAGGAGGCGGTGGCCAAGGCAGAGAAGCTGGCAGAGGAACACGCCTGAGCCCCCCTGAACACCCCCACCCCCGGCTCCGCTGGGGCCGGACCCCCAGTATTTAACATTTCCAATAAAACATCGGTGAAAACGTTCGCGAGCTTTGTGTGTTGTGACTCCTGTTCTCAGGGGGCTGGAGGGATCCAAGTGCTGTGAGCCCCCAGCCCTGGGGGGACCCCAGGAGAGGGAAGAGCCCCCCTTTGTCCCTTGGGGTCTCCAGGAAGGGGGGAACCCCCTCCTCCTCCTCCCCACAACAGCAGCGTCGCCCTTGGTCTGCAGGGACAGCCCGGGGTGACAGATGCTGGTTGTGTGTCTGCCCAGCCCTGTGTCCGTCTGTCTGTCCCGGTCCCTGTCGTTCTCCCCGCCCCCCCCGCGCAGCTCCAGCTCCACCATTTCGCAGCACAAAGAGCCGCCCCGGCCCGGCCCTGGCAGCTGCCACTTTGTCCCCGGGGTCCCGGGGGGGGCCGCTCCGCCCCGACCTCGCCCAGTGCGGGGCTGGATCCCCCAGAGGGCACCAGGACCACCCCCAACTCCCGACCCCCTCCCCTGCTCCGCCGGTGACCCCCCGGTGCCGGGCTGTGCTCAGCCCCACGGAGGAGCGGGGTCCCGGGGGTGTTCCCGCGGGGGTGGCAGCCGGGGGTCCCGCGGTGCGGCCCCGCTTGGGGGGTATCCCCCGCTATCCCCCCCCACCCCACGGAGGGCGGCGGTCCCTTTAAATGGCGGCGCGGCCCCGGTGGCGGAGGGGGCGGCGGCGGTCGCTGACATCACGCGGGGCCGGGAGCACCTGCGCCCCGCCCGGCTCCGCCACCGGCACCGGCACCGCAGCGCACCGGGCCGGGCGGGCACCGGG